CTATCTGAAACGGCGCCCTCGGGGGGGTACCGCATGGGCTGAGCAAGGCACTTTTTCGAACGCCCCGATCTTAGTTAGAGCGGCGCAACCTCCTCGAAGCGGCATCAGGAAAATCACGGCGCGATCCCGCACAGCTGGTGGGTGCCGGGCTCTTCGAGCGAACGGCGCTGTTCCTACCCCCGCCCCACCCCTCCTTCTCTGGGCAGCGGGGAAGGCGCACACTGACAGGGCTTCCGAGGACCGAGGGAACGATACCCAACGACCAACCACTCAGCCACTGCAAGAGGGGGGGGCGACAAGGAGGAGCATACACGCACCAGCGCACACGAAAGGGAGGGGGGGGAGGCGGAAGGAGGTGCACCCCCCCTCCCCCCCTTTCTGTGCCGGGATGATGGTAGATGGTGGGGGTGCACCTCCTGGCAGGAGGCGGGGGAAGAGCACCCCACCCCCCAGCACTCGGTCTTTTTCCTCTTCCCATTGCGCGCGGGGAGAGGAAGAGGCCCCCCCCTCCCCCGGCACCTCCAGGCTCTCTCTCTTCCCCTCTCGCGCGCTGGAGGAGCACACCCCGCCCCCCAGCACGCAGATTTGTTCCTCTTCCCAGTCGGCGCGGGGAGAGGGAGAGCACCCCCCCCCAGCACTCCATTCCCTCTCTTCCCCTCTCGCGCGCCGGAAGAGAACCCCCCCCCCCCCAGAGCTCGAATTTTGCTCGTCTCCCCTCCCGCGCGGGGAGGGGGAGAGCACCCCCCGCTTCATCGGCACACCAGCTTCTCTCTTCCCCCCTCTTGTGCGCCGGAGGAGGAGCACCCCCCCCCTCCCCCCGAGGACTCGGATTTTTATCTTTACCCCTCCCGCGCGGCTGAGAAAGAGCACCCTTTCCCTGGCCTTCCAGTCTCTCTCTTCTTCTCTCTTCGCCTCTCGCGCGCGCTGGAGGAGGCCCCCCCTCCCCAGGACTCGGAACTTTTCCTTCTCCTTCCCGCGCGGGAAGAGGACGAGTAACCCCCGTCTCCCCCCACCCGCACTCCAATCTCTCTCTTCCCCTCTCGCGCGCCGGGGGAGGAGCACCAACCCCCCGCTGCCAGGGGGCACAGCCCCCCCTTCGATTCCCACCCCGGCACGGTAAAAAGAAAGAGAAGGAAAGGCGGGGAGGCAGGGAGGGGGTGCGCTCCCCCCCTCCCCCCACTGTAGTCTCACCCTGGCACGGGTAGGAAGGAGGTGTGCGCCTGTGTGTGTGTGCACCTCCTTCCCGCACCCCCGTCCCTTTCGTTTTGAGGGGGGTGCTCCTCCTTATCTGCCCCCCCCCCCCCCCCGGCGTCGTGGTCGCGGGATATCGCTCCAACCCGTCCGCAGACGGGTAGCGCCGGAACCCCTCCCAGGCGCGCGAGGGGCGGTGCTTTCGGCGCCGCCCAGCCCCTCAGCGACCCCGCGACTGGTGCTCCAGCAACGAGTACTTCGGAGACCGGGCGAGCCTAAACCTGCCCGATGCTGGCAGTGCTGCGATGCCCGAAGGAGGTCGTATGGTAAAATCGCTCGTCAGTGAGTATCCCTTTCGGCTACACGTAAGAGCGACCTGACCCTGGGCAAGAGCGACCTTTGGTGCGTGGCTTTCGGGGGCCACGAAGGGGCCCAAATCCAAGCGTGTCGGCCGGTGCTGGGTAAGGGTCGCTGCGGTGAATGGTCACTCGTACGTGCAGTCGACCATCATAGGGGGATGCGAAGTACCTGGAGACGGGACGGGGTGGGCATGGGTTGGAATCAGAAGCTGGTCCACTACCAAAAATAAGACGTCAATACACAAGAGTTATCCACTGACGGATCTAACTCATCTTCCGTTCATCGGCATCAATATCATTCGAAGCAGCATGCACTCCCCTAGTGGACCGCGAACGGGACTCAGTCCCCTGCCAGCCGTCCAGTACCTGCATTGACGTCGTTGAATCGAAGGGAGGGGGGAAGGGTCTCTGCCTGTGTCTGTGTCTGCCTGTGTCAGTCCTGCCCCTCCTGCTCTTTCCCTCTCTCCCTCCGTCCTCTCGTCTCTGGCTGCTGCTGCTGCTTCTGCTTGCCCTTTTCCCTCCACTACGCCGCCATTTTCGATCGAGGAAGCAGGCTGCACCGCATCGCTAGGAACACGTTCCCGCTGAACCTCCCGCGCGCTTCCGACCCACACTGTGGACCACCAAGACGACGTGCACTACTCGCGGTCGGCCGTGGGCTCTGGGGGCCGCTACCACAGCTACCACCGCTTCCTTTCTCATCATAGGGATGGGGTGCACCGGGCCCGCCACAAGTGGCCATGGGCGGCCGCCGCGAGGCCCCCTTCCCAAATCCCCTTTAACCATGCACATGATCTCCCTTTCTTGACCGATATTCGCGGGGACCACTGGGACGACGTGCGCTACTCGCGATCGGCCGTGGGCTCTGGGGGCCGCTACGACAGCTACCACCGCAACCCTTCCCATCATAGGGAGGGGGTGCACCGGGGCTGCCACAGGTCCAGATCCAGGGGGCAGGGCCACCACAAACCCACGCCAAGTGGCCGCCATGAGGCCACGGGTGACCGCCGTGAGGTTACAAGTGGCCGCCGTGAGGTCACGTCTGGCCGCCATGAGGCCATGGGCGGCCGCCGCGAGGCC